TCTTTTCTGCACTGTTTCCTTTGAAGAAGCACATCTGTGGCATCACTAGGATTATTACCATGCCATTATGACACAGGGGGTGTTGCTGTCTCTCTCCAAGAAGACTGAGTGTACAGTTTATTTTTCTAGGCTGTTAGCTGGGCTCAGGAGCAAGGTCTATCCAGCCTGCCCCTTTGGGCTGGCACCATGTGCCTCTGTCTTGCCACCACTGCAGAAAACAACCCAGCTGGACCCCAGGAATTACCCCAGTGACCCGGCATTGCCCTGTGCAACCTCACCTTTCAAAATTCAGGAGTGCAAAAGCCTGTGCTGCATCCCTGGCCTTGATGGTAGGGAGTCCCACCAGCCTCTGGACCCTGCCCTGCTCCCTGCTGGCCCTTGCAATGCCATTTCCAATGACCTGGATTACTTCTGTCACTCACTGAGTGAGCTTCTGACTGAGGAAAGCAACTTGATGACCAGAGAGGTGGGAAAGAAAACCAGGCAAAGCACCTCACGTGAAAGCCCAGCAACCCCAGCCTTCATCTGGAGAAAAAGGAGGTTCCTGCAGGCTGAGCTCCACAAGGGTGGGTGCCCAGCCCATGGCTCAGCGCAACTGGGAGCACATTTTATTTATAAACTTTGTAGACCCTCTCCTGCCTAATGTAAAGCCCAAAATGGAAGGCTTGTGCCAACATTTTACCATGGAAATAAGTGTTGGTTGATAATAGTTGGCTGTACCAGTGTGCAGAGGCCTGGTGGTGTTTGTGCAGGGGTTTGTTTGTGTTGACAGCTGTACAGCACCACATCAGCACTGACTCTGCTCTGCAGTGCTATCAGATTTCAGTGTGTGGCTTTGCCACAGCAAAACCCACCACTGCTTTTACATCATAGGCCTCCAGTTTTGAGGGCAAATTTGCGGAGTGAACGCAAATAGGGGAGCTCTGAGTTGAGACCCCTGGAGGCAGCGACATCTGCCTGTCTTTGATAAGAATTTCTGAGAGTAAAGTACTTAGAGTGAAATTAAAAGCTTTGATCTGCTTTTTTGTTTCATCATTATTTCATGTCTGAGGCCTTCACATGTGCCTTTCAGTTCTTTATTAGGCTGCAGTGTTTAGTTACTGCTCCAGTGCAGGGCAGGAGCTGGCAGCCAACTGGCACTGCCAGGGCTCAGCCCCTGGCTCCAGTCTGAGCCCAGCTAAATAAACAGGTGTCAGACACACATCCAGAGCAACACTGCCCCCCAAAATAGTGACCCTCTGGCCCCAACACATGGGGTACCCCTGTGTGAGGCAGCCCCAAATGCCCAGGGCACACAGCAGAGGTGATGACAGAATCCCAGAACCATTTTGGTTGGAAAAGGCCTTTCAGATGGAGTTAAACCACTAAACTGAAAATATCTGAGTCCGCCACTGAACCACGTCCCCAGGTGCCACATCTGCAAGTCTTTTAAATCCCTCTGGGGGTGGTGACTCCACCATTCCCTGGACAGCCTGTTCCTACGCTTTACAACACTTTTTTTCAGTGAAGAAAGAGCATCAGCATCTTTTTTTTTTAATTTTCCCTTCTCCCTGGCCAGAGTCTCTCTGTCAAGCCTGCGTATGCTTTGTAGTATTTTTTTCCTATCACGACAATTTAATTTTTCGCTTGCTTTTTTAAGGGAGGGGAGGAAAAAAAATCCCAACTTTTGCTTTAATGATCTTCACTACTGTAAACTTAAAAGTGCCTTACAGTAGCAGTCTGCCATTTTCTGTTTGCACCAGTCAGTCGCCAGTGATTGATCTCAGAAGCCAGGCTTCATTTTCTAAGCAAAATAAGCTGCAGTTGGCAAAACTTGATTAAAGTGAGTGGAGCTTTATCTGATGTGGCTGTTGCCACTCATTTCAGCGTAATGACTTTCTTTTCAACTACAGAGGACCTGCAGAAGACAGAACAAAAAAGTACGGCTGGGTTTATAACACACTCTTCTAAAAGTTTAAGCGATCCTAATAGGCCATCAAACTGCTGAGAAACCCCTGTGCATGTGGAATAAACTCCTGGTACAGCTGCTGTGGAGCTTGTGTTGTCATCCTTCCTTACATTAAGGTCTGCCACGACAGAAGCTGCTGATGTTACCGTTAAATCCATCATGCAAAAATTGCTGCTGTGATCGTGGACTAAATATAAAAAAAATAAAAATAAAAAATTAAAAATTGAGGCATCTTGACTTTGCTTCCTGATTTTTGAGCATTTAGGTCCTAATGGATCCACTGTGGCTTCTCCCTCCAGGAATGACTGAATAAGGTGAGCTGGAAGGGACCCACAAGGATCATTGAGTCGAACTCAGCCCTGCACGGGGCCATCCTCAAGAGCACGGAGCCCAAAACCCTCTGAGCTCGTGGCACAAACAAGCCATGTCAGCATTCCTCAATCTGTTGCTTCCCATGAGACAGAAGAGTTTCTTTTCCTCTCATTTCTGAGGGAGGGCAGACAGTGAGAGGAGGAAGAGCAGGTGAAATCAGGGAAAGAGGTGCAAATACGAAGCTGACGGGCTCGCAGACAACAGGCTCTATTCCAGTGGCAGCTCCTCTGCGAGGGAACTCGTGCCATGTGAAAAGGTCCCGTGCACAGAAAACAGTCTGCCAGGGGAAAATAAAGAGCTCTGAAGCTGTGAAGTCTGGCACAGCCTGTAAAAATAACTTTGGCTTGGGAGGGGAGGCTGGGAACCCCGCAGCTCCTGGTTCCTTTCAAAGACAATGCCCGGTGCCACAGCGAGGGACACGGAGACTGAGGGCTCCTGCAAACCTCCACCAAAGCCTCCATTTAAATTACTATCAAAGATTAAAGGCTACCCCAAGCCTACGCTCCCTTGCAACTGCATTAATTATTCAGGCAACACGCAGAGCTCTGTAATTGGCTCCTGTCTGACAGCACCGGGCTGAGTTTGTAGGTTAGGGTGGTGCCAGACGGCTGCTGCTGATGATTGCAGACGATTTTGGGGTTTGCTGGTGTGGGAGAGAGGTGTCTTCTAATGCTGGAAGCAGTGTTAGGAAAAATCAGGCTGGGAGGGAGGAGGAGGCAGCTGAGTTGTAGGGAAAGCAGGGGCACAGTGCTGAACCCCCCTGGTGACTGCAGCCCAAAATTAAATGATGGCACTGCCAGGAAGGGAAGACAAGGCAACACATACCCAGACAATAAAAATCCACCCAACCCCTTTTCTTTATCCCCTACCCCTGACAGAAAAAAACCAACCCAAACCCAACAAACCCTGCTCCTGCTCTGCATGAGCACTAACCACTGTGCAGGCTTTATGCAGCTGTGACATTGATTTCATTTGGTAATTTCATTGGGAAGTTCCATCCCTTCCGGCGACCAGAAAACAGCCAGCTCCTGCGAGGGCCCTCTAATTCTTTACTGCAGCTAGAAGTGATTTATAAATGACTTTACAAAATGGGGCCACCGCACACTTTGAAGAGCACCTGGAAGTGCAGGTCTGAAACCAAAGGCCAGGGGTCTGCCAGCAGATCTACAATTATTCCAAGGGACTGGACAGGGTGCCTTGCCTGGGAGACACCATGGCCTCAAGGAAGAGGTCACTTTCCCAGAAGAAGGAAAGCAGAAATTACTGTAGTTATTCTGGCATCGTTTAAATATGAAAATTGAAGAGAGTGGTGGAGAAATCAACACAAATTTCTTCCCCCCCTCAGCCAGAGTGTGGCCAGGGAAGGACATGCTGTGTCCCCTCAGAGCCAATACCACCACGACAACACTGCCATTAAATTGTCAGTCAAGTTTAATGCATCATAAAGAAGTAAAACTACATTGGCATATTTAAGACAAACACTTTTTTTTCCTATGCACACTATCCACTGGACAGTCCCCTTTTCAAAATAACTACTTTTAACAGTCCAAGACAGTTCTTCAATAATTCTTCACATATTCAACCTTCCACGCTTTTCCTTTTTTTTTTTTTTTTTTAAATTCATCTGAGAAGGAAAAAGAAAACTCGTTAAACCTGAAAACATTTACATTGCAAGCCACGTTAGAATGCATAATTGGCGTACAATAACCAATGTATAACAATTGTGTTTTTTTTTTTTACTTAGTTCACTTTGTTCATCAATAAAAGAATATAAAAATCTTGTTCAACCGAGTGCTGTGTATTAAAATAGATTTGTATAGTACTGCACAGTTTCTCCCGGAGTTGTGAAAATGGTTGAAGGGACCACGTGCTGCCTGGTGATGGGCGACGGAAAAAGCCGGTCCCTCGCGTGGTTTTTTTTTAATTTTTTTTTAATTAAAAACAGCGACAACAAAAAAAAAAAAAAAAAAAAAAAAAAAAAAAAGAAGGTATTCGGCACCGTGTGATATGTTGATGTGAGAGACCAGCCTCGGGTCGTGCTCTGGTGGCTTTCCTTAAGTACCTGTTGTGCTGATTGACGGAGACCTCGGAGAGGGCAGGGACGGGGGCACCCGGGGGGTGCTCTGGGAAACCCGGGGTGCCCATCACTCCCTTCCCAGGCAGCCACAGGGAGGGGGGCCGTGGCCTGGGGGGGCCAGGAGGGCCCTTGCAGAATCAGGAAGACTATCTAGTGAAACCAGCAGGTGCACTGGGGTTTCCTCAGGCTAACGCTAAACGCTCCCCAAATATGCTAAAATCCAACAAAACATTAAAAAAGAATCAAGTTTCCAAAAAAAACAAACAACCCACCCCTTTCAATTTTCCATGCCCTGTCTCTCCCCCAGAACTCTTGATATTATCCAGTTCCAGAAACAACCCCTTGAGGCAGTTTTTTTTTCTTTTCCTGTACCATTTCAGCAGATATTTCCACAAGCAAAAAAAAAAAAAAAATTTTTAAAAAATCATGCTACGTATTTTTAACAATAAAAATGCAGTACAAAAATGTAAAGTTATCTTTTTGGCATATTATCTGTACTGTCAAGAAACAAAACCCAGAATAATTATTTGCTTTTTTTTTTCCTTTAAAAAAAAATAAATCCAAAATTAACTAAAAAAAAAAAAAAAAGAGAGAAAACCCCAAAATAACCTCTTTAAAAAATGAAACCCAACCTGCCAAAGGTATCCACTATCATGGTTTATGCTAAATCTTGCACAAAAACTCCATGAGAAAAATACACTGATAGCAAAATAAGTAAAAAGGACCTGCAAAAAAGTAAGGAGTTTTACAGTCATACTTCTTTAAATACTTCGGAACGCATATACAGAAGCATCAGCATGAAAATACTTCAATATTTTACTAGAAACGCTAACTTCATACAGTTTCTTTATTTAAATATCTGCAATTCTCAACTCTAATAATACTGAAAAAAAGGATCTTTTTGTCTCGAAGGCTCTGTGAGTGTCCACGGCGGCCCCGAACCCACGGGGCCAACTTTGTTCCTCTGAAAACAATCCGTGTCAAGTCCTAAGTAGTTCAGTTCCCGGTTACCTCGGGGATCCCAATTCCCCTCCCACACACAGCTTTCAGCCCCACTACGTCCCCACTACCTCACTAACTCTTTGCATCGACAACTCCCCCCTGAAAGCAGGACGGAGACCTGCCTGCCCCCCGCATCCCTCTCCCCACCGGCCGCGCTCCTCCCGCTCCTCCTCGGGCGTAAAGACAATTTAAGGCCAACAGAACAAAACAAAATCTCGTAAGCACGGAAGGTCCGTGGGGAACCCGCTGCCACAGCCCCCTGCGAAGCGGGCTGGCTGGTGTGCAAGGCTCGTCCTCCCCTCCCGCGGTCCGCTGGAGCTCCGCTCCGCTCGCTGCACAAAGTCCCCGGTGCCCCGGCCCGGCGCGGTCAGTTGTTGCCCTGCGATGGCTGCAGGGCTTTGTGCATGGCAGCGGGGCCGGGGGAGGGCTTCATCCAGGGCACCGACAGCAGGGAGGAGGTGGTGGTGGTCGTCATGGTAACCTGAATCATCTGCTCGCTTTGTATCAGTCTAATGAGGGTTTTGAGACGTTCCAGCGATGACTGAGTCCCTTTCTGCTGGGCCAACAGGCTGGTTTTTAGCTCTAAGCATTTCTGTCAAATGAAGAGAAGGAAAGGCTGAGAGCACATTCAAATTGGTGTCAAACATCTCCACCAAACATCCTTTTGTGCCTCGAGTGCACGTCCTGCTCAAATGAAGTATATTCTCCTTTGGGGATAGCAAACCCCCAGCTTAACAAATGGAGTAATCACCAGTGCTGCACACGCTGCAGCAGCTGTCTGAGGGAACAGTGTTCTTCCCGGTCCAAATGCATTTAGAGGACATTTCCAAGCTCATCCCATGGACAGCCTGGCACAAGCACCTTCTGCACTCACTGCACAGGGATGACTGCCATGGGAGTGCAGTAGCTGTGCCACTGGAAAGTACCAAAGGCACCAGTGGGGTCTCTCAACCTCACCAAAAGGCACTGAGGGGTCAAACTCGCCACGATGCATTTTGTACGTGCCACACACTTCAGGGAGTGAGTACTGTGAAGATGCACTGATCTCACTAAATGTTAATATTTTTCTCACTACGTCGATATTTTTGTGGCAGAAAACTTTGCTGTGAGACACAGCTGTTACACCGGTGCAGTCACCAGAAAGCCCCTGTCCAGGGTGGCCAAACTGCACCCCCTGTGACCACCTGGAACGTTTCATACAAACCTCCGTGCAAATGGGCACGAGAGCAGGGGCCAAACAAAGGCATCCCAAATCTCCTGCTTCTCCAAGAAGAGATAAGGAGAATCAGCAATTCCCCTTTCCCTCCCAAACCACAGACTGCTGCAGCCAACTTCCCATTCTTCTGTGAGGGACCAGGTGAGAGACCCAAACCCTGAGCCTGTCTGCTGCATGGAAGGGGACAGTGGCCTCTGCTATCTGAAACCTCCTGTTTTCTCTCTCCCAGTGGGCCCAGGGGTCTGGCAAAACTGGTTACTTGTCTGCAGACTGCTCCTGTTTGGCCGTGGTCCAGACTGCCCAGGGCAGGGATTCTCCGGTCCTGGGGAACTGGGAAATGCTCACTTGGGAGTCAACTTGTTTGGAAAGCAGCTGTGTGGAGCTGCTCCGAGTTGGTTTAGAGAGATGAAATCTCAGGTGAAGGCTAAAGCATGGTCTGATTTTACCAAATAACACCGTTGCACCTGTGGTGTGCATGAGAGGGTTCTTTTTTAACGTAAATCTCTGTTAAAATGTCAGAATGAAATTGCTCTGTGCTGAAACACCTTTAAGTGCTTTTCCCTTTCAAGTGGATACCTTTCCAGTAAATTTAATCATTGGCTGATATTACCATTTAAATAAAATAGTGCTGCCCACTGAAAGAACCCCATTCTGCTTAGGTAGAAATCTTACTGATTTAGACACACACCTGAGAACTGACTGCTTTTCTTTTCCCAAACTCCTCATCCCACTGACCTCTCCTACCTACTTCATACACATGTGTTTCCATTAGTGCTCATGGTGCCTGAACACACTTACAGGGAATATTCCCCACTGTGATGTCTTTTAATAAGTTATTGCTTTTCCTTCCACTCTGTTTTAAATGTGATAAATATTTTAACATGCCCCCTCTGGATAACTGCACTGGTAAAACAAGCAGTGACCTGTTACTCCTGCAGCTGCCACTTTGATTTTTCCAGGGTAAGGAAGTGTCAAACATTTATTGAGACTGCCATGCAAACTAAGAGTCAGGTAGCCCCAAATCAGTTGGAATTATGGCTTTGAATTCAGCCCTTTTAGCTAGAGAGTGGTCCTCATAGCACAATGTATGTGAGAGACACCTCAAACCAACATTTAGCTTTGAAATTAGTTTGAACGATGAAAATTATTGAACCCATTTCCAGTCATGGAGAGGTGTTACAACATTCAGCTCCTGAGACAAATAAAGATGGTTATTTCTACTTCACCTCAAGAGTTTTGAGCTAATGGACAAGCAGCTACCCCTGGAGGAGATGCTTGTGGCTAAACTTTTCCCCTGGAGAATGGAAGTGCCTAGAAGTCACAGAGCTATCTATGGCATTACAAGGAAGGCAGCCCCTGCTATCTGGGGGGGGTTTGAGTGTGTATTTGCCACAGGAACTCAAGTGATTCTCCTCCTCAGCCTGCCAGAGCAGTTGGTTTTTGTGCCTAAAGGAAATCCACGTGTATTTCCTCCGAGAGAAACACATTCACACTTGAAACTCTGCAGCTTGGGGGTAAAAATCATTTTCTAGCCACAAACCACCAGTTTTTCAGGCACAAATGCTTTATAAACATCTCAGCAGGAGACTCTGTGTCCCCAGTCAGGTGTCCTACCTTCACTGCATTGTTGAGAAGTCGATCTTTTTCTTCTAACTGCCTGTGCTCACTCTTCAGCTCACTGCTTCTCTTTAATAACTTTCTCTTCTCTTCTTCTTTGACTGTGGAACAATGAGATTAAGGATGCAGAGGGTAAGGAAAGGACAGACAGCAGGGCTGTGCAGCTGTGCCCATGGCTAGTGCACAGGACAACCCAAAAGCTCCAGTCCATCTCTGAGATTAATTAAAACTCATCCTTAGACCACGTGTCTCCCAGAAAGAGGCGGATGGTGTTTAAAACAGGTCAGCCACCTGTAATGGCAGTGGTTTGTGACCCTGCTGAAAAGCACAATTGAAACAGTGCCAAAGCTCCACAAAGCTCCTTAGGATATGATCTAATGCCCCAAACAGCCCATTGTAAGAGTGCAACATTGATCATTACTGAAAGAGTAATGATCAATGCACAGGTGTCACACAGCATATGAGACTAATGACTGCCATACCCAACAGTACTGAAACAATTGGAAGCTGCTGTTGCTGTAGTGCCTGAGACATTGTGCTACATACCCAATTACATGGCTCTGCTTAGCCTGACTGTGCCTCTCTGCCTCCCACACTATGATTCTGCCTCAAAATCCCATTTTCAGCCCCGTTCTCAGGAAGGCACCACTTTGATGACAGTCTCCCCCAGAGAGTGAAGATCCTGACAGTTCCATCTCAGCTTCCTTTCAGAGGGAAGATGGCAAGGAGCAGATCAAGGGGAAGGGGAGAGAAAGTGGCTTTCTGTTCCCAGCCCGTTATGGCCCTTTGCTTACTGCCACCATCAGACCTGGCAGCGTTGCAGCACTACTTTAACACTACTGCTGAGAGGGACTCAAATGGCAGGGAATCCCTTGTCAGCATCTGCATTAACCCCTACCTGTTTTATGAGTAACATAGGAGTGAACAATAGCCAGAGTTCCAGTCCATGGCACGTTGTCATCTTTCTTTAACACCTATAAGCCCAGGAAACAGTAAAAGTTTAGGACTCCACAAAGACACACGTTAACATTTCTCTTCCTCCAGCCTTGCAGCTCTGCAGGACCAGATCTTGGGTCCTTGTCTCAGGACATGACAGTGATCTCAAAGCTGAACGTAAAGAACTCTGAGGCACAGAATCTACACTTTAGTGACACTTGGGTGTTTTAGTAATTGTTTTCTTGCCTGTGCAATCAGCATTATTCACAGCAACTAGACAGACCAGCACTTCTGCCATGACTGTGATCGACAGCTGTGTGTAAGTAACATGATTTAAAGGAAAGGAAGTGTTCTCCTCACAGCTTTCAGACCCACTGGGGAACTCCTGACACTGCCTCCCTCCTCTCCAAGGTTTACAGTCCTTGTCAGGCAATGCTGGTGGTGTTATTGTAAACGAAAAATTGTAAAGCCAAAGGAATGGAAGGGACATTTTAAAAGGACAATTCTTAGCAGATGTGATTGCAGGTAAACTAAGTCTAGGATGATGAAAATACCAGAAATAAATACTTCAAGCTGTACTAAAAGCCTCTCAGTACTTCTGTAGCTAATGCAGTCCCCTAAGCTGGGACTACGGGTTAGATCAGTTTAGTGGTTCACAAATTGGAGGTTTGTCCCATTTTCCCTCCTTGGCACGCCACGCTCCATGTATCTCACCTTCTGTTGGCACTTTGGGCAGACCCAGACCCCCTTGGGGGCAGTTTTGAGGGGTGGGTCCAAGCAGTTGAGGTGATATGCTCTGGGACATGTGCCACAGGGCTGCAAGTTAACTCCACGCTTGCAAGCAGTGCAGTGCTCATCGTGGTGGATCTCACTCTGCAAGAGAAGAAGGGTGGCTTGGGTAAGCTCAGCCCTTGAGAATTTCTCTCTGTACAGCACCCCAAGCCTCTACTGCAGCAGACAGGCCCCTTCAAACACAGAATGTAATCGTCAAAGGGACCCTGACCTCTGCAGGAGAGAGAAATAATGTATGATAACAACAAGCACAAACAAACAAACCAAAGAGCCAGAAACAAGTTCCATAAATTGAAAGAGAAACATAAAACCCAACTAATCAAACACAGGAGGGGAGCTGACTAATGTAGCCAGCTTGTGACACGGGAATTATTGCACTTCTTTTTTGCCAGTGTGTCACTCCGACACGTGCATCTCTGTATCTCTCTTCTGAAGCACGGGGAAGCAAAGTTAACCTGGGGATCCCTTGTCCTTTGCCTCCAAAGCAGAAGGGAACAAGCAAGAAAAGGGTTCTTTTCTTGGGGAAAAGGCCCAGTTCCATGTGTCATGCCCACTGCCTGAAGGAGAGCACAGCCTTGGGCTCGGTACCCTCCTCGTGAACTCCTCCGGAGGCCTCCTCTCTTCTCCCTGGCACTAATTGTTCTCTGCTCAGACTTGCTCTGACAACCTTTCTCCAACAAGACTGATTAGTGCTTTGTCTGAAGCAATACATAAAATGAACTAAGACTCATCAACAAAGTTACAGTGTCATGTAGTAAATTGCTATGCTAATCTGGTGGCAACGTTAATTACTCTTTGTATAATTAAGTGCATTTTAATAAAGGAGATACTGATTTTGAAACTCTCATGTCTTTTCAGGCATTGTAAAAAACCCTAAATTTCCTACTGGTTTGCCAGGAAGGAGAATAATAATTTTATATGTTTGTTAATTCCAAAAGCATATTTTCATTTTGAGGAATATTAATTATGTTTCATGATGGTTTTAGTCAGGCTTACATCTTAAATTCTAACTCAGTCCTATAAAAAAAAAAATCACTCTCCAAAATACTACTCTTTAAAAACTCCGAAAATCTTAATTTTAACCTCCAGGTAAAGAGATTTAATCCCTAGAAACTAGAACGGTTACTCATTTTTCTTAAAATTTTCATTAAACCCACAAATCTGGGCTAGCAATTTCTCAATCAGTGGCTTCTACAAAAGGATTAAACTCAAGCCTTGCATATGAAAGAGTTCACCTCTGAAATTCTAGCTTAGGGGATCAAAGATTTAGTTAAGTGGGACACAAGGATACCGAAATTTGGTACCTTGGTAGCACCTACAATAATCAGAAGCAAGCACTGAATTACACAGGGATGAGGAAGACACTGCTAACACACAAACTTGACTGCACATACCTTCCAGAAGGGATCCTCATTTGCTAGCATATAAAAGAAGGGCAGAGAACAGATTAGTGGCAAATACATTGCTGGAGTGACTGCTGGCTCTCAGCTAGGGGAGCAATTTTGGTCGGGCTGTGACACAGGAAACCAGGACATTGCCAAAACTCACATGGCCAGGAAAGAATGCAACAGCAAGCAGTGGAATTAGCATTTGAGACTTAAACCTGTGCACTGCAGGAATCCCACGTCCAGAGCTTCTGGTGCTAAAGGGTCACAGTCTGATGAGCACGTGCTATTTCACATTTTCAGACATTTTCACCCAGAGCTCTTCTCCACAGCAGTCAAAAAGTGTTCCTTAGGGACCTGAGCCTGCTGGGGAATGAGCAGTGTGGCCCTGAACCAGCAAGGCACTTAACATGAGGATGAAATGGGTGCCTCTCACTTACCATTAAACACATGTTTAAATGTTCAGCTGATTCACGGCCAAAATGGTCCAAAACTGGGGGGTGAGCCTGATGGTATCATCAGCTCTTCCTCATCAAAATACTCCCCCCCAAAAAGCCAGTGACCTTTTGATGAACCGAGTCTGTAGTGATTGCACTCACAGCCTGATAAGAGCATCAACCATCAGAGCCCACTAAAACCAGGCCAAGCCTTTCATAAAAAAAATATTGGTGGGATTCATCACACTTCAGCCCAAAAATAAAAAAAGCTGGAAGGCGTGAACAGCTTTGTGGAAACCACACAGCAGGTTGCGATTTTTGCCGCTAATTTCCCAGAATCATGGATTCATAGAATATCCTGACCTGGAAGGATCATCCAGTCCAACTCCAAACCCTGCCCAGGACACCCCAACAATCCCACCCTGTCCCTGAGAGCGTTGTCCAAACCCTCCTGGAGCTCTGGCAGCCTTGGTGCTGTGCCCACTGCCCTGGGGAGCCTGGGCAGTGCCAACCACCCTCTGGGGGAAGAACCTTTGCCTGAGATCCAAGCTGAGCCTGCCCTGACACAGCTCCAGCCATTCCCTCGGGTCCTTGCACGAGGCTGGTGCACACTGCACACTGTCCCAGTGACAAACACCTGATGGAGAGGCCTTTCTTTGGACTAAAGAGAAGAAACCAAACTGATATTTCCCTCCTTCTGTCCTTCTTCAGCTCCCTCTCTGATCCCAGTGGGAATACAGCCGCCCCAGTGGGATCCCTCATACCTGGGAGTCATCTTCATGTTTATCTTTAACAGCCTTTGATAGACTTTTTTTTTTCTTCCATAAATTTCTCTGCTTTCCCCAAGAATTGTAGAATACTTTGGCAAAGAGTTCCATAAACAATCAGAGCCCAATAAAATCTGTAGATGTCACTTCATATCCACAAATACACACACAGAGGGCCACCACGATATGACACCACGATTACTCGGGGGATATAAATGTTATTCAGATAAACAGAGGCTTGATAATTGAAGAGTCTTTTCTACAAATGATACATGTCAGGGGACACGACCTCATTTCAGGTAAGACGTTTTCAGACAAATGAATCCTGATTAATTGACGTTTTGATCAAAATTTACAAGAATTGTTCCTCCTTCTGCATTTCCAGAAATGACAGTTGTTTCCTGGACGTCATGGGGGTTTTTTCCTAGTTTGTTTATCTGCCTTTCCAGCTCACTTTTGCTACAAAGTTTTAAACTTTTTAAAATACATCCACTTCTGCCTTCGAGTTGATGAAAAATTAAACAGAAGGCAATATTTTTAAAGAAGAAGCAGTTTATAAGAGAAGGGGCAGCCATCTCTGCACTGAAGGTGGAGAACTGTCTGGGACAGCATCTGCCTGCAGTTCAGAGCTTGCACAGCATCCAGCGTGGTGCATATGGCTAAAAACACCCTGCAGACATGGGGAATTCTGCTATAAAGAAGTGCAGCTTAAAACTCTCAGAATATGCAGAATCCCAGCAGAGATTCTGCATCCTGGAAAAAAACAAAGATACAGGACTACAAAGAGGAATTAACAATTAAGGAGAGAGAGTGCTGATTTCCAGGCAGCTCTGAGACAGCTGCATCACTGGAGCTCTGACACTTGTCTACTTCCTTGCAAATAAAATGGGAATCATATGGTGGAAAGAAGGTCAGAGATTTCAAACCCCAACCTAAATAAAACCCACCCAGGGGCTCCAGCACGGCTTGCCAACATTTCCATCCTCTCCTGGCTTTTCACATGTGTTTACATGGGTAAAACAAGTGCTATGATAAGACAAATAATAAATTACAATTTTAATTTTTAAGATAAAACTAAGCCAGGAATAATGTTCTTTCCAGTGGGGCTCACACGAGCCTGGGCTCCTGCTAAGAGGGATGTCATCAGAGCTGTTTACTGTGCAATAACCTCTCCTGTCCTCTGAGACCCCACACATTTGAGGCATATGGTAAGTAGGGCAAGTGCCTGCATCTGGCAGGGGAAGTTTTGAAGGGAGGGAGAAGCACTGCTCCATTTCAGGCAGGGCTCCTGTGGTGCAGGAATTCAAGGCAGGGCCACAGAGGTGAACCTCAAGCACTAAACGTGACACCTGACAGGGATGTCAAGCAAAACACTGAAAAACTGCCAAAACTTCACGTCTTAATTGTAATTACCCCTGTAAATGCTCCTAATACTGAAATAATATTTCACTTAGAAAAACATCTGCCTTCCCTTCCCTCCAATGCACCACGGTAGAGTGAGTTATAAAGGCAAAACAAGAGCGAGGGCAGAATCACATTTCTTTACTGGCTTCCTCTCCTCTGCTGAAATGCAACTCAGGCTTCTTTTTGTTTCCTTAAAATACCACATGGCCTTGCCTGAAGAGTTAAACTGTGCCCAATGTTCTCTGTGTTTCATCTCCCAGCTCTTTGCCTCCTCTGTGCTGCACATTTTTCCTGGGATGGGCTTCTTCCCACCAGCTCATCAGCAGCATCCCCAAATGGCTCCCCTGAGTTGTTAATTCTCGAGGCTTCTACTGTGACATTTTCAGAATCTGAAGTTCTTATAAATGCAAGATTGGAAGGAATCTTCAAGGTCATCAAATCTGGATTTACCAGCTCCAGCTCTTGGAATCAGAAAAACCATGGGGGTTTCTGTCACTGTTTTTAAAGCAAAAGATATGGGAAATTTCTAGCCCTTGAGGGTGGACAGGAGTTCCTTAAAGCTGGTGAAAAGAGGCAAATGAAAAGCCAAAAATAGTAATTATTTTTTACACCCCAATTTTTCAAGACATATTTTTAAGGACTTGGCATTGGCAACACTGCCTTCTTCAATCAGTTCTCTCACTGCGCGGTGTTTACACCACCAGAGATCAGATTTTCCTCTGATTGCAGAGACTTTGGATCCATTTCTACACGACTGTGACCTTCAGCCTTATCCTTCAATTGTTTCTGCAGGAAAACCATCCATTTTCCGTCCACACTAAAAAGTGCAGGGACCTTACACAAAGTAATGCCCTCTGGTATCCTGGCAGTAAGTCAGATGAAACCCTACTAATAAATATTTAACATGTCATTAGAATAGCAGTATATCCATTTAAAATGTGCTTACCTCTTGTCGAGAGGAACAAGGGGTTATTCAAATAATTCGACGCGAGGCGTTTCCGCTGCAGGGGGAGAGAAACCAACCACAGTGTCACTGCAAAGGGCTCTCCTTGCCCCTCAAATTTCACGTTAACCATCTCCACAGGCTTCCCTCACACCCAACCAGCTCTCCAACAGCTACTTGGATTGGCCAAGGGGGCAGTCAAACAAACAGCTGCACGATTCACCTTCCCAGCCAGCTCTTCACGGAGCAGCTGGATGTGCATTAGATGAGAAATACGAATTGCAAACGTTATTGATGGGGTTTCAGGATATCCATAAGGGGGAAAACGGCGTAATAAACTGTTGTTGTGACATGACATCTTTATTTGAATGCATAGAAATGGTGATGGACTTCCCACCTGCAGGAAAACCGCCTTTACCTTTGTGACACCTGCCTGCAGTTCAGAGGAACACACTGAGTTTGCAAGCAATGCTTGTAAGCAAAACATTTCCCTTTCAGGAGTGAGCATGCACGACCTGGAGGAGCTGACAGTGATTTCAACCTGCTGAGGTCACCAAAGTTACAAACACAGGTCACTGCAAACCTGGCTGAGATGTTTAACCCATCAGATGGCACGAGCTGCTGCTCTAGAGCAAACCAGCCTTCACCAACAGTCTGTACAAGCCCTGACTGTCTCTCTGAGCCATCCAATACTTGTACAGCAGGACTGGGAACAGCACCACTTCCCTCCATTAGATGTTGTTAGATTCTGCTTGGAGGAAAATTAGAGGGGTTTTGCTAACAAATGATTTATTCTGAAGTGAGTAAACGGTTCTCTTCTAAATGAGTGCCTGCCAGTCTGTTAAATGAATTTTGAATAGATGTTTCTTTCTCAAAAAAAATTAACAAGCCTGAAACTTTACCCTTTCCTATGGAAAAATAAAAAAAGGCTGCTGAGGGTAGGGAAACAGAATGGTATCTCATTTTTTTTTAGGAACAAAGCTTTGAAAAGAAGAAACACAACATTCAAGTGAAGACATAAGAGCATGATCCCATTTTTGCAAGCAAGGAAGTCAGCACCACTGCAGATGCTGAGCTCCTGCCGTTCTGAGGGGCGTTGGCAAATAAAAAGTCTAATTTATATGCAATTCCAATTTAAACAATCATGAATTAAAGATCATTCAGAAGACTAAATTAAACTGCGCCAAAATGCCTGGAATGCCACAAATACCTCAACTCACTGATTAGCAAATCAATCTGAGCAGCTAATTGATCAGAGAAAAACCATCTGCCTCCATTGTACTGGGATGGCATTCCCCATGGTCAGTCCTTAATGACAGCTCCTAATGAGGACACAGCTGATCAGCCACAGGACTCCTCCACAGACATTCCTTCCTCCACTCCAGCCTTCACTTCAGGACAGGCTTTTGAGAGCAGATACCATGAGAAGGATGAACCAGAGGTGCAGCAGACCTGCTCCATCTTCTCTTCCACCTCTGCCCCAAGATAACTGAGTTTCCCACAAACACCCATTTGCAGCCACAAAACTCTGCTGCAAGTGTTTTCAAAATTTTATCAGGACAAAAAGGTCTAAGGCACTTCAAATTTAATGCTAGCAAGGCTGAGTTCCTACTGTGTTAAATACTGGGTGTGTGGACATCAGTATTGGCACTGAAGAGTTGAGTTCTGAAGAATTCAAGTGCTGCTCTGGAGTATAAAAATCTCCAATACTTTCAAAAAAAGGTGACTAAGCAGCTCGACTACAGAGGTGGGTTTCTTCTTGGCCTCATCTGTCTGCTGTCTGCCAACAAAGGCAGAAATCTGAACTGTTGGCAAACCAAAAACACTGCATGGCTTGTACCTAAACAAAGAAAAATCACTTTCTTTAGGCTTTAAGAACTCAGAACACAGAGAAATTCTGCTTAAATGGCTGCAACTGAATTTCATTTCAGTAGGAAGTTCAAACAGCAACCCCAAACTGTGCTGAAATTTTAAGAGTGAAATTTTAATTAGCTGAATAAATGTATATAAGTCAGTTCAGAAACAAAGAAAATTTTCAGAAAAAGTTAAGCCTATTTATATGCTGCTTTTACACCAGGTTTGCAATCCAATATTATGCAGGACCAAATTCTGATGTTACTATAAGTGTAACAGACAACAGATATTATCCAGAGCATTTTTATTTTTAATTATGCATTATTATATTTATTATGCAGGCTTCTAAACCCCCTGCAGAGCACACTGATTCTTAAACCAACACATCCCTTTTATGAATGCCTCTAATAAAAAAAGTGAAGTTCTCCATTTATTATTTGGCACATAGGAAAAGAGAAATAGCAATGCAAGTTTGAACATAATGCAGCGCTTCTGTTCTTCAGTTCTGACCTAAAGGGACTGCCTGCGTGGGTGAAAGAGTAATCAGGTCCCACATTAATTTAGTCCTTTTGGCCTTTATTAAAACTAAGATGAATTCTAGTTTGAAGCAAGTGATGTTGTTGGGGTGAAAACCTGTTGCTTAGCTACTGAGATGAGATCTTTTCTTTCTTTTCCACATCAATAAGTCTTTACAAGTAACTGTGTGGTTCTGCATTCATATATATTTTTGCAATAAGAAGCACTTAGACCTTTTACTGACGTGAAACAGAACTGTGGCAAAAAAAGTGAATGATAAAGTACCTCTGTTTCCAAGAGTCCACTGTAGGCTGGATTGGCTGTGCTTCTTCTCTTTCTTTCCTGACGCTTGCTCTGGATTTCTGTAACCATGGAAAGAAACAGGAATTGTGGATTTCTCATTCATCAGGGGAAAATGCAGATCTAACTTGTTAAGCGAGATGCTCTTACCCTCAGCCCCCCGGGCTTTGTGTTCAGTTTCGGTTTCTAAAGCATAATTGGGTTGCATCAGCACTGATATTTGCTGCAGTTCAAGGTTTGACATTAATAAGGTTTTCCTTGTGAGATTCAGAACACAGGCATTTTTTATTTTTTCCTTCCTTCGAGGTGGACTTCTGCTGCCCTACAAGATTTTTATTATGATCCCTTCAGACACGTATTCAGCAAGCATCGTCAGAGAGCTGTCAAAGTACTCCAGATGTCTGCTACTAACAAAAAGGAAGCATTTAAAGCAATTAAGCCTTGTAATTCCCATCATATGAAAGCAGAGAGATCCTTTTTTAATTCAATTTACATTGCTTTTCCTCTGTGGAGGTTGGAGGAAGCATGGCTGGAATGGCATGGCTAGATTCAGTTCTAACTAGAGCTTGACGATTTGTCCACCCAAAACCATACAAATTTATAACCCTGAGCATGTAAATTGTTATGGGCTGTGCACATATCTGTGCCACTGCAAACAGCAGCACAACGATGGGCTCTTTGGGCTGCAGCCCTGGTCAGAGAAGGGTGAGACACAGGGGTACTCCCTTCTAGAAAATGGTAACACCTATCCAGGGCAGCACGTGCTGAGGACAGCGTTTAGCAACCATCAGCCACGTGCATCCCTCTGTAAACACACACAGAAAGAGGGAGCAGATTACTCAGCCACAGAAACCTGCAGGTTTAGTGCTATTTTTATCTGAGCTGGGATTCCATTTACATCACATGGAATTTCTTTCTCCAGCTCTTGACATCAGTTCAGACTGGTGAGATTTATTACAAGCACGTCTTTTATAGCCCATTATTTTGACAATGAAGAGCAGACATACTTTAGCAAGGAGAGCTCCCCAGCATCCATCCCAAGACTTGAAGTGTGTGCTCTACTCCAAAATGTTTCCTGTGTGAATATTATATGTTTAGACTCTGTGTTGAGGTGCCAGAGGGATCCTGTTGGTCTAAACGCCCCCTCAATGGTGATACCTCTGTTCTGTCTTGCCCTAAGCAAATCTCAGAAGGAGAGGAACTGGCAGCAGCCAGTCCTTCAGCCCAGAGGAACACACCCAACAGGAACTTAGGACACCATCTGGTTATGCAGAAGGTCTGGCATCTTTCCTCAGTGTTTGAGCTAAATGGGTCCATCTCAGAACATCCTCAGCACCAGCCTTTGGGATACAGAGCACGATCTGTAATCCAACAGCAAGGCACAGTCCAGCTTTCAGGGTGGTTATGATCCATGGGAATTGGATTCCCAACACCTAGGTCTGGTTTCCAGGCACCCTTTCCAAGTGCTAATCATTCCCATGTACCACTTTCAGCATTGCCACAGTGAAGGGTGTCAGTGCTGTCACTCACGTCTTGGACACTTGGTCACTGTGTGTGAGGACCTCGTCTGGGTAACAGTTCTGTCCTGCTGCAAAAGTCTTTCCCATGAAATGCTCATCTCTCTATGCTGAAATCTCCATCCTGAAGCTTCCAGACTCTCTGACAGCCTCTGAAGGGAATCAGGCCTCAGTGGCAGCAGGGTGAGTGTCAGACACACATCCAGCAGCCCGTCAGAGCCACTAGAAGAGAGATGGTTGCTCTTGATGTCAGCGTTCTTGTAAGGGAAATGCTCTCGAGGCCCAAAGGTAACAGAGAGGTCACAGCAGAGGAACCATGTGCCTTGGTGCTGGAAAAAGCAGAGGGAACGGCCCTCTGCTGGCTCTTTGCTGTCAGCAGTGTGAGCTGGAGCTGCGGTTCCTGCAGCTCAGCAGCCCCAGGTACCCACTGAGTGAACCCAGGGCTTGCAGCACCCCAGCACCCCTGTGGTGGTGCAGGGAAACACCTGAAGGTGGGGCAGCCCAGGCTTTGTCTTCCAGAAATGGTCACAGGGATACAGCATTGTGACTTTTCACCGGCCCAGAAAAAGAAACAAAGAATTGGAGCCAGCTCTCTGTGCACACAGCTGGGCCAAGAGCCCCCCAGAAGGACTTGGGGGGGCCTGTAGATCTCTGCCCTTCTCAACCCCAAGTCAAAGACTTGGGTACCTGCTCTTTGGTACCTGCTCTCACCAAGGCAGCAGAAACACCTGCTGGAATCACACACATGGCAGAGACCTGGAATGCAGCTTTGGGAGAGGCACTGCCATGGCACAGAGAGAAAAGCTGGCTGGGTGAAAGGAACAGCAGTGGGAATAGATGGGAAGAGAGAGAAAGAGAGAGAGGAATGAACTGAAACAGCTCGAGGTGTATCACCCTGTGCAGCCATCAGGGAGGGAGAGCACGGTGTCAGCACTTTATTTATGGAAACTGAACAAAAATATCCATGTATTTACGTACATCTAAGAGTGGGTCTGTCAACAAGCACACCTAGGCAGAACAAAAGCATACAGCAGTGTGGCATCTTTTGTTACTTGCCACTTCTGCTAAAAACTGTTGTGTGCCTTCCAAATAGGATGCAAGAAAGTTGAATTAAATTTGTTTTATCTAATTAAATCATAAACATTTCAGTAACCTAGATGGAAATATTTCAGTTTTTTATTTTGCTGTGGTAAATCAAGATGTGCATTTTTAGAACAACCTGAACTAAAGGTGCCTTCTTTTAAAGTTTTGCTTTCTACCTTTTTCTTTTTAGCACAATGGCAATGCTAAAAGGTGTTCTAATAGCCTAGGGAAAGAGATTCAGTATATTACAACCCTACACTGCATCACAGAATTCAGATACCTCATTCTTCAGTTTCTTAATTTAAAAAACAGAACCCGAGTGGAAAAAAATATTAAACTGTAATACATTTGACAAAGATGAATAAATTTGCAGATAGCTTTATGTTAGAGGCCAAACTTCAATGGGCTGCTGCCTTCATCAATAAACACTCTGCATGGTCATTCCATGGGGCCTGTGATGGCAATTTATCTTCAGGGAAAGCTGCCCCTTACAGACTGTCAGTCAGTGGAAGCTGCTGTGTTCATTTACTGGGAAAGGCCTCAGAAGATGCCTCACACTCAGGCTCTGCAGAACAGAGCTCTTTCTCCAGTCAGGGAATGCTCCTCTGGCTGTTAGGCAGACGGAGAAACCCATACACAAGCCCTTCTCCACGACATTAATGAATAACAGGAAGAAAAGCAGTAGCACTGTGAGTTAATGATACTGAGTGAATAAGCTTTTAATGACCCAATCTTGATAGAGTTTAATTCCAAAAATGTGAAATTGAGAAATGCATTAGGAGCATTAAAATAAGCTGAACTGTGTAATGACCTCTTCTTCCTGATAAATAGCAACGGCTGATAACCGTAAACATGACATAGCACTAAAATAATAACCTTTAGCATGTGAAAGCTATAAGGGCATCTCTGACAGTCATAATCACCAATTCTCATGAAGAAATACCCTTTCCATAGCAAATAGCTCTTTGTTGGAGCCATTTATTTAATGCTAGTAGGAATATAAAAAGTGAATTTGTCTGCAGGAATCGATTCCGCGGGATCAGCGTTGCAGCAGTTTGGTTCAAAATGTGCATGTCCACACTTAGTGTTGAACAAACAGAGCAGAGCAGTACTTGGCATTTTGAAAATAAGCATTAAATTCACACAAACAATTTATTAGTTCCAATAAAATCAAAGGGTAAAGAATTATTCAAAATGAAGTCCTCTCTGTTGTAAGCGTAATTTGCACTTCAGCATAATTTCAAATGTTGTCCTATTTTCCTTAGACAAAGGAAACAAGAACCAGTCGTCATTTGCACTTTTTGGATTATAAATCTTCTCCCAAAATTGCTGCAGCTTTTTGATTTCCATTTCAATCCATTACCATTAAGGGATTAAAAATGCCGATGGCTTAAAGTTTCTTTAAACTGCTTTCAAATTCTCAGTCACTGGGACATTAAATGATTCTCTCAAATGCAGATTTAAAGAGGAAAGACATTGAAAAATGGCAACAAGACCCACAGAAAGCCCGTTGTATATATTAGGAGACCTTACAATTCAGGTGCTATTTTTTCCTGAATTCACAGCCTGGCTTAAAACCAAGGAACAGGGAATCTTAGTGCAAAGAAATCAAGGTGTAAAATGGGAGGTGTCAGCAAGGTCCCTAAGCAGGTGCCTAAAGCAAAGCCCATAAGACTTAGATTGAGTACACTGGAACTTCCTAAGCATTTTGCTGACTGTGGTCCATGGGATGGGTGGTAAATATCAATTATCATTCACATTTTTTGTGACCAAGAATCGCTGTCAGCTGACACAGACACCACCTTTCTCTCCTTACACTGGTGGAATCCCAGCAACTTGTCTGAGCTGAGCCTGGAATTAAAACACATCAGGCTGCAGCGTTTTCCTTAAAAATAGTTGCATCGTCTCTCTCTCTAAGAAATAATCCATTCTGCCAAGAAACCATTGATTCATCTCACACCACTGGCAAATTTGCTGAACCAACTCTTTTTTCCCCCTCTCATCCATGATTTTTCCCCTCTTATCCGTGATTCTTTCCCCTCTCATCCGTGATTTCAGATTGACAAAGGCTGAGGCAAAGAAAGCTGCAAATCTGCAAACCCTTGCAAGGTATTTTTGGGAGGCCGGAGAAGTAAACTGAAGGCTCTGTGATGCTGCATTTAGTTTCTGTGCAGGATTTGTTTGAACTCGTGTTCAGAAGCCTGGGAAGTCGGGCGAGCAGCTCTCACACAAACACGGGATCAGACTGGAAGTCTCCTAAGTTTTTGGCTAAATGGGAGGGAATGGAGGGAAGGGATTCTTTGTGAGAGGGAGTTTTCTAGTTTGCTTAAATCCTTATGAAACCAGTGCTGGATTTTCACCAGTGTTTTCCACATTACTCTGTGGGACTCTCAAGATGACAAGACCTACTCAAGACCTGAAAGTCCATCTCACGTGGGAGAGAGCAGATGATGCTTGAGCAGGGGGGTTGGACTACAGTGTTCCCTTCCAACCTCAGCCATGCTGTGAGATTCAGAGCAGCCAAGAGAAAAGATTTCTCTCCAAAAAGGAACTGTAAGACAAGACATGCCATCTTACCTTCCAAATGTTCCGTTGTAACCAGTCCTAACGCTACCATGAAGGCTATTTTCTAAGGAAAAAATAAACAGGGGTTAGATTTTCCACTACAGTGATCATGGTAAGTAAATAAATAAAACTAGTCTTGACAGACTAAACCCAGTAAAGGTCTTTTAGAAATGTATCTTATTGGATTGCACAGCAATACGAAGAACTTTAATTGAAGATTTGCTTCAGATGTGCCTGGTGAGTCACGTCCCACTTGCAGGACTACATGAACTTCAGGAATTCAGAGATTTCTGAAGCCAGTGTTATGTGACTACTGATTTTATACAGCCCAGGACCAAAATCCAGCCAGTCAAATCAATTCAACTGCCAGCTGGCTTGTCACTCCACTCTGTGGAGAGGTCATTGTGTATTGTTATTCCTATCTGGACATGGCACTGCTTTTATTGGATGTGAGCAAGCTGTATGAAGCAAAATAAGGTATATTAAACTTCCACTGAGCTTTACAACACTAAACAAGACATCTGAAGCATATTGAAAGTCCCCTCCTCTCAAAATAAAAACACATCAGAAATTTCTCTTCCCAAGTTACAAAAAGAACACCATGTGCATGAATTATGAAAAGGAACACTAATCCAATATTTTCCCCTAATGAGGAGTGAACAAACATCTCCCACTGATGCTGGTGAACTCACTTTGAATGAGAAACCTGACCTAAAATATTGCTTACAACTCTTGTCAACTGTGTATGCACAAAACACACCTTCATACTAAAAAAATCTTCAAAACATGCTGATGCAGTAACAGGACAAGCACTAGAGCAGATTCTAAATTTTTTGTCAGGGATTTTTCATTGGGAAATCTTCCCTCGCAGCAAAAGTTTTGCTGGAGCTTTTATTCCATCTTTCTGATGACAACTGAAATTCTGCTGTGTTGTTCCAAGGCCAAACTGAACTGAACTCCTTGGTTTTCAGTCACATCTGTGGTACTGGAGGGGCCTCGGGGGTCTCTTCCTCTCTCTGCTGTGCTGAGCAATCTCGTTGGGTCACGTCACCCAAGCAGCATTTTTGTGAGGTGCAATTCCACAGGAGCGACAGTCTGACTGTGAAACCCCACCTGTTGGGAAATCCAGGCAAGCAAAGCCCACAGTCCAACTCTGATGAAGTGCACAAAGACCACAGGAAGATGAAATTATAATACTCACCCCAAATAAAATGTGTAGATTCAGGTCAAACTAAAACACAGTGTTTAAGCAGCAGCAGGTCAAAACATTCTGTTTCAATCAAAGAAGTGTCAGGAGAACACGTTTCAACACTTCCAACACAAGATTAGTTTGACCTTCTTGTTTTGTGAAAAGCCTGATGATTCAACTTCTCATTTCAGTTCAGGACAAAATCAACTAGGAAGTCACTGGAACTATGATTTCCTTTGCAGTTGTGACTGTCACACAGTGACACTGAAAGCAGGCACGTCCTCATTTTGTAGATGGAAAGATCTGACTGTTGGGTGTGTCCTTCAGAACCTGAGGGTCAGCACTGGACATCCACACCCCTCTTGTATCTGTGAAAATATCCTCGTCAAACAGGTGAACTAACACCCTCATAAGACAGGAATATTTTCTTTCCACAACCTCCAGGCGTGTAACCCTCCCTGTAGATTAAAAAATGGTGCTGTAGAATTTCATCACTGGCATGAAATATATATTCATGCTGTACTTCTGCCTTCCACAGCCGTGCTAATGACAAGTGCATGTGTTCATTTGCATGTCAGACCTTGATTTCAATAATGTTCCCTCCTGACGTGCCTAAAACACCAGCCAGGCACAGTGGGGGCCCCACACCTGAAGGGAAAGATGAATATTTGATCCGAGATCCACCGTGCAGATCTGAGAAGAAAATTAGTCAACTGAGGGGAATTACAAGCTTCACCTCACCCCCATCAAAAAGTAAGCGTGGCAGGATGAATCTCAGAGCTGGGAGCAGGAGAAATCACAACATTCAGGTGCAGAACCACAAAGTGGGAATGGTTAACGTGCAACTGTGTGTTCCCAAGGGAGCATGGAATTGCCTGTGTTACCCCAAGATCAAACTGCAGGGGAAACACACGTTTTCTGATGCCCCAACTGAAATTATTTTAGTACTGGAGTGTTTGCTAAACAATGTCTCTCCGTGCTAAAATTATTTGAATAGATACCTAGTTAAATGTAATGGCAGCTTTACATATAAAGAGCCATCACAAATGGACTTGATAATTAAGTCATGATTGAACACAGGAAGGGTTAACACTTATAGGGATTTGAAAATTGGTTCCTTCTTAAAAAATCCCAGTAGAAGCTGTATTCTTTTAAACAAGCATATTATATTAACAGCATCTTTGTTTTTTATGGTTTGGCTATTTCACACTCCTGTAGCTTGTTGGATTCAACTCAAAATTCTAATTCCATTGCAATGCTTTCCTTTCAGGTAGCACAGGGTCTGTTGTTTCTCCTCTGTTCAGGAAGCTGCAAAACCAAGACTTCAGTTTCTCCATTTTTTTTAATCCAGGCCTAACATTAGCATTTAGTTCACAACTGCCACGTATCTCTCTTGTACTTCTTAGGTGGGATTAGAAACACTGGCAGAAGAAAGAACCAGCATTTATGGCAGTAATTTTCCTCTTAGACAAAAAACTTCTAGAATGCAAACGTTGTCCAGGATCAGCTTGGTGGTTTCCCAGCAGGATGACCAAGCCAGGAACAAAAGACAGTGATCGTCCTCACTCCTTTCTGTTCATTCAGGTCCACTCAGTACCTGCAGATGGGATTCCTGCCTACTGGTAAGTCTGGCTGTTTCTGGTTGGTTTGCTTTAGATTTGCAGTTTAATTTGCTAAATCTCATTCTGTCCCGATTAACATCTACGTAGGGTCCTCTTGGAGTTCCTGCCTCAGTTTTGTGCTTTGAAGATAAATAAAAGCTTGAAGAGAAGTGCCTCGAGTACCTATTTTCTTTTTAGAAATATGGCATCTTTGTTACTCTTTGCTTTAAATTTAATCATCTGCTTAAAAGCCACGAGTGCTTTCAGAAACACACAGCACATCTTTTCACGGAGCAAAACAAAGATTTTCACAAAAGCATTTCATTTTGTAATTACATGTTCTATTTATGTCATTACATGTATTTACACTAATTATGCTGTTAGTTCTAATTGCACTAATTGCATAAATACATGATAATCAACTAAAGTTTACTTTCAAAGAACAAAAGAAATTAACTCTAGACCTACCTATTTATGGCCATGAAATAAATCTATGAAAAGAAAAGAATTGTCATATTTAAGGGCATCAGCACCCTACCCAGAAAAAAGACCTAGCTGAGACCTCCAGGATATACAGGGTAGGAACGATATTCATGGGCAGAAAAAGGTTGTTGAGATAGTCTAATTAGCAATTAAAAGAGCTCATTAAATTTATGGATGCCATACCAAAAAGTGGGCCCAGTCCCACCATCTCCCCCTGCATCTCTCTGGAACACTTTTGTACAATATTCTTTCCATGGAGATAAGTTACTGGCAAGGAAAAATGAATGTTTTTTCCTAACATTCTGCTTTTAAGCAGGATCCTACTGACCTTTCTGCCCTTAAGGTGCTACCAAATTAATAAGGTTTTGGAAATACCTGCCTAAAAAAAGCAGGACTCCACAGTCCCCTCATTCAGTGGCAGTGAAGGTTCACAGGAGAGGCAGATTTAAACCTGGGAGGTCTCCTAAGTGTAGTTCTGCAGAGCTTCTGCATAAAGCTGTGATATTCTGGGCTAAAATATTTATCCTTAACACCATTTAACTGTATGAACCTCTTAAAATGGTAAAACAAATGACCACCCACATGCCTCAAGTAACATTATAAATTTATATCGTAATAATCCTCTTAAGCCTACAGCTCCAAGGATGCTCTTGTGCTACACATTTATTAGACTGGTGAGGTTAAGATTCCACATGAGCTGAGCATTTCTACAATAGCAGTAGATTCAGCTTGTGTAAATCCTCAGACTGCCTCAAAAGTACACCCAATCTAATGTGAGTACACCCAGACAAAAAACCAAAATGTCTGCTGAAGAGAGATACCATTTCTACAAGGACTTGTGGTCTATATTTTTAGCTGAAATTAAAAAAAAATGGTATATTAAGAATATCAAAAAATACAGTATATTAAATCTCTTTCATCTTATAACCTTCTTTCTGCTCTCTTACTCAGTTTGAAGGATTTTAACGTGTTTCAGACCAGAATCTGCATACATGTGGGAAGACACAGCAAATGCAAGAAACTGTTGTTAAATACAAGCTAAAAATTGCAAAATTCATTACAAAGAAGACAAAAGAAATGTTAATTTCACCTCATATGCCACCGGTAAACCCAATGCTATATGTTTGATACCAAAAGAAAATATCTTAAGCTTGTATACACCTTTCACCAGAACTCCAGCTACAGCCTTGCAAGGTGCCAAGATTATTATGAGACCTACAAGTTATGTTACATTTTGTGACATAACTTAACCATGCTGGAGCTCATTTATTAGAAATGAAAAAGAAAAAAATCACCTCTGGATTTTCCTCCTTTTTCTTTTTGGTAGCAGGGGGTCCCTGAGCTGACTCTTCAGGAGGTTTCTTTGTCTCCACTTTACTTTCTGTCTGGGTTTGGACTTGAGGCTGAATAATGATAACCTAGAAGACAATGTACAAATAAGAGAATTCACTATATGAAACTGGATATTTCTGCCTGAAACCTCGGGTTCTTCTTTGAAGGGTTACTTCATACCCCCGCAGAAAAGAAATGCAAGTCACAACCCAAAAGTATAAAAAAACTGAATAGCTAGGTTTGGCTCCTAAATCCATACTAAAGTTTCTAAAAATTAATGGTTTTTGGTGCATTACAAACCTCCAGCAGATTAAGGGAGCCACTCAATCAGTGCCTCTGAAAATGAGGACACTTTCTATTTGGAGGACTTCTGGAGCCGGCTGAGCAGCCACGCTCTAGCAGGGATTTTAAGGCCTTTCCTTTGATTTTATTCTGTGTACAGGTAGAACAGAGGGGATCACTACACATTCAGAGCCAACCTGATCTCAGTTATGAGATCTCAGTCTCATAACCAGCTTTATTCAGAGTAAGTGCCCGTGGACGGGGAGGAAGACACTCTCATGTAACTGAGATCAGAGTTCATCCCTCTGCCTTTATGTGTTATGAGCACTGGGTGCCCAGTTTTCCATAAACAAAATAAACTACATGTTTTACATTAAAACCAGCTCTGGTTTAGAACCTCTAGGAATTAGGACACAGATCTCTCATTCACACACACGTGAGTTAGTAACTCCAGCTGCTCATGTTTGAATTACCACGTGAAGATTTACACAGTGCAGGTCACGTTACCTCAGAAGGTATTAAATTAAAAGGAATGAATGACAATTTCTGCCCACATGTGAGTTTATACCCATAATCAAATCTTCACAAAGGACTGTGGAAGACCTTCCTAAGCTCACCTTCTTGATAAATATTAAAAATATCAGATTTGAATGCTGGGCCTTTTCCATCTATTTCATTGCTAACTTTCAATCCATGTTATTTAATTGTTAGATACTTTATCTCAGCCTGGTCACTTTAGAAGTTCCTAGAGCATAAAAAGAGATGGTTTTCTTAACCAGCAGCTTTTTTAAGTAAAAGAGAAATAAATTATGGCAAAGAAATGGGGGAAAGATGTCTGCTCTTGTTTACCTCAAAAGCCTTCCTACATCCTGTATTCTTTTTTAGCACTCTATGAGAACCTGTGCTGCCAACAAGACGAAAAGTAGGGGAATCCCAGTAGTAAATTACAGTGAATGTCTGCTGGGCACATTGGCAGCCTTTGTTGAATCTGTTTCTGGTGTAAGTGGTGAAGTTCTTGCATTACAAAGCTGAAAAGTGGTACAAAGAGGAGACAAGTAATTCATAACTTGAATTTTCTTCTACTGATTCCTGTGCTGATCAGTTTTGAAACCCTGAGCCCTCATTTCATTTGGTGTTCCCCTGGAAGTGCAGGAGGGAACGCCTGATTATTTTATATACTCCCCCGGGGTCAGCTGATATAACTCCTATCACTGTATAATTGAAGAGGGAGTCCATAGGAAATCTGAGCCTGCACAGAATTCAGGGATGTTATTAGTGAGGATTGGTTTAAGGAAATGGGAGATCATATGGTCCCATTAATGTCAGGCTACAGAATGATGAGTTTTGTTCCCACTAAAAAACAGGCCTGTACACAGACAAATGTCTGCCAGCATCTCTGTGTCCCCTGAAGAGTTTTCCCTTTGCTTTCTGATTATTTTCCTCAAGAAGAGCCACTGCCACCGCTTTGCCCAGGGCTGTGCCCTCCCAGAGGAACACCCTGCTTGCCCCTGCCACGGGGTTGCTGTACGTGCTGCCCAGGGGGAGGTGAAGCCCTGTCCTAGTTAGAACACTGGGACCAGCTCATCACTGTATGGGTGTAACCCAAAACTGTGTATTCTAGAGCCTTCCCTGCCATTTCCCAGAAACTGTTATCAATAGACCATTTACACCCTCTGCCCAGAGCAGCCCTGACCCCTCAGGTTATAAACTGGGTGTTAAGAGACCTGTTAAGAGGGTGCTCCTGTCCTCACACCCAGTGTGGAACTCCCCACCCTGAGGGAGGTACTGGCCATTCCTGCCTGAACCCGAGGATATATAATCTTGGAGTCTGGGGACTTTTTAACCACTCGTGGGATCCAGAGGAAGACTGCAGATCACCGCTCCCAACCAGACTGCACCAGCACTCTCGACCAGAGTGCAACCACCACTCTTGACCAGACTGCACCAGCTCTCTCACCAACAGGTTTTCCTCTCTCCTTTTCCTTTGGACTCAGGGGGCCCAAAGAACACCACTCTGTTCATGCCCCAGGGTGCTGGGTTATACATTTGGGTTTTGGGGGTTAAACCCAACTGTCTGTCTGTATAATCGTACTTATTGTATTATTTTATTAAATTGTTATTCTGATTTATAATCTCTCCTTTGAGTTGGGTTCATTTCCCCTGCAGGTGTACCTTTGAACCAGCACAAGCCCCCACCTTGCTGTCGGCGCTGATGAGGAGCGGCTGCACCTTGATGCTGTCGTTGACCACGGAGACGGCGGCGCTGGTGCTGATGGGGGCTGCATTGCTGGGGGAGGTGGAGATGATGGCGTAGGCCACCCCTGCACCGCTCAGAGGGGAGGGCAGGGGCTCGCTGACGCTCTGGGGCTGGCTGTGGGGCGGCTGTACATGGCTGACGGTGTTGTTGGCGGTCGGGAGGGCGGGGCTGGGGTTCTTGATGCTCACTACGGTCGCCTTCTGGAAGGTGGGAGGCTGCTTGGAAGGTTGGTCTCTGCACGGGGAGATGGGGAGGCTGTCTGGAATCAGGGTCTTTGGCCTAACCTACAAACAGAGAGGCAGATGTTATTAGGCACAGCCTCACACTGTCATGGACAAACGCTGCACACTCGCATTCTCCCAGTAAAACCTCTAATTACATTAACCGTGGACCAGGAGCATCTGGAAAAACTACCTAGCAACTGCAAGTAGCCAGCCATTCCTTTACCTGTGGATATAGAATCACAGGATGTTCTGATACAAGGAATCATCGAGTCCAGCTTCTAACTGAATGGCCCATACAGGGGATTGAACCCTTGACCTTGGTGTTATTACCACCAAGTTTTAACCAACCGAGCTCAGCTCAGGGAACAAACACTGCTCACTCACGTTCTCCCAGCAGGATCTCTGGTTGCATTAACCATGGACCAGGAGCATCTAGAAAAACATGACATAGCAACTGCAAGTAGCCAGCCATTCATTGACTTGTAGATATATTCCAGTGCTTCTCAGCTGGGCCATTTTGGAGTCCCTAACTCATCGCAGTGCTGAACAAGAAGGGAGGGAAAAAGTCAATTCCTCACTTTTATTAGTTTACATCCAGACAAATGCTAGTCAAGTCACATCCAGTTCTCAGCAGGGATGTGTAAGCCAAAGCCTGGACAAAGAATGGAAAACCCATACACAATAACTTCCTATTCTGGACACAACACTCCTGCTATGAATTAAGGAGTAGGATTGAATCATTAAGGGAGTTGTGGGATTTACAGGAACAGTAAAGCATATACCTGGTGGATCAGTGAATGACCATCCTCATGTGTTTAAGACATGCCACGTCTAGCGGAGAGGAGATCAGTCACACAGTCACTCAGCTCACAAAAAAAACCCCAAACAAAATAGAGAGGGGCACAAGAAACCCACAACCATCAAACCTCATCTTTTGTGGCTGTAAGTAAAGAGCCAGTTTACAGCTGTGGTGGATGCAGGGGTGGAGGAGGACACTTTGGCCGGCTCTGCACAGGCTGAGGCTGTACCCAGAGCCATCAGTGACAGTGAGAACAATTGTTTTCAGCTACCGCGGTGTGTTTCCAGTGGGGTAATTAATGTCACCCTGTCAACACGGCTCTGCCTTAACAACACGTTAAGTACAGCTCCAGGATTGAAAATAAATAATTTAAGCTGCTTCACATGAAGTTAACTTCACTCCCAGCTCATTCGTTAGCACGGCCAGATACAACAGTCCCTTCCCTCTGTGCTTATTTAGTCCTGTCACTTCTCACACCTCCCATACTGTGACACAAATGACAAGTTGTACCAGACAGACATGGGGAACAGCTGCCTGTGTCACCACGCTGGAGTCTACAGGAGCCCTTCCAAGGATGCTGACTTCAATCTCCAGCCTAAGGAAGCAATTCAATGCAAACACGGGCATTCACTGATGGGCAGAACATCATTCTCTGCCTCACCAAGGAGGAGCTGAACCCATTTGTCCCCACAGCAAATATTAAGTGCAGCAACAAAGCCAGGGAGCTGCTCTGTTGGGCTCACAGCTCTGGGGTGACACTGGAAAGCCTCAGAGCCCCGCTGTGAAATGATGAGAAACTACGTGAAGCTCCAACTAACCACAGTCAAGGCACACTGAAGGGTTCTCTGCTCTTTTGTCTTTACCTGATCACTTTGTATCATTATCATCTGACTTATTCAGCTAAGATACAAGACAAATATCCTGGCCAAGTTGTTTAAGGGAGGACTCTATTATTAACTTCATACCCATAGTTAGTTAATGGCCTTATTTTCAAAAGGAGTGCACAGAGGATTGGTTCAAACCCACTCTGGCTCAGGCATTGTGCAAAACTGAGGCTTCTAACATCAGCATCAGCTCAGTGCAATAGGAGACATGATACTCAAAGCAATTTGTTCACGTCTGTATCAGTGATACAAGCAGATCTTGCAGTATCTGCTTTTACATTTTCATAATAATGTCCTTCCCCTCCCATGTTAAATCTTATGTAAGTCTCTCATATGTAAGCCTTTAACAAATTGCTTACGCCTGTGTGCTCAGAGACACGTTCACAGAAATAGCATCATTACCCAGAAAAGGAAGTCTGAGAAGCTTGGTAAAATACAGTTAAAAGGTATTACCATGGACAAAAAAAATCCAAATTTAATTCTTAGCTGCTTGGTTGTAGTCTAAATTTTATCATCCTTCCCTGAAACAAAACAATTTTCTTGTAAATTAATCTAACATCTGCTACAAACAGAAATACTGTAAACAGACAGATAAGCACAGAGAGAGAGAGAGAGAGAGAGGATACGGAGCAATTCAGATCAAAGATTCAATAGAACAGTCATTAAGATCTTTAGAAAAAAATCAAGTCTGACAAAAAATCAGCACAGGAGTTCTTCTAGCCAAAAACTGTCATGTCGTCTACCAGGATCTACTGTATCTGTCACTCTTAATTGCACTTTTATATTTAATCAAAAGCCTAATTAAAGCTAAATGCCTATATATATTCCAGCTATATAATTATCTCTTCTGCACTACTGCACATCCACAGTGACTGTCAGCTGTAACACCTCGGTGAATCCTCCCCACGCCCGTAACACACACCCTGCGCGCTGGGGACGAACGCGCCTCACTCGGCTGTAAAATAAGCTCTTCCTGCACAGACAATTAAACACAACTTAATTTTCCCGAGTGCTAAATTCCTTTATGAAGCCCTGGCACGCCGAAATGATCCGACAGGACTCACCGAAGTGGTGCAGCACAGAGCACAGAGCATAGGCCGGGCGCCTTCTGCCCCCGTGTGCTGCAGAGGAGAAACAGCCTCTGAAAACTCCCCGCCAACTCCAGCCGGCCTTGGCAGAGCGTTATTTATTTGCAATTACGGGACAACGAAAAGGGTTGACTACAGGGCGGAAAAAAAAAGTTTCAGGTTCTCCCGAGTTAAAGCTCAAATAATTTAAAGGGTAAATAATGTTAATTTCTACGGCCGCCAATCCAAAACAGAAAGCAAACATAGAAGCCGCTGTGCTCCAACACCTGTGAATGTTTCCCCCTGAAATATAAACACTAAGGGCAAGTATTTAATATACAGCTATGTGAGGGACCTTTGGCAGAGTGTCACCTCTACAAGCAAACTGCTGCAGTAATCCGCGAGGATAAACGGTGTCGGCTGAGACCAAAGAAAAATAAACAAAAAGAAGGAAAGAGTGAGTGTAAAACCCTTTTCCTCACGGCTAAACTGAAAGGAGGACAGTGGCTCTAGGAGAAGTTTGGAAGCTGGCAGTCACTGAAGAAGGGCTGGAATAAAACTAGGGCAGGACAGGCACTGCACATGCACAGCACCACAAAGACGTTTCCTCCTGCAAGTAGCACGGGTTGGATGGCACCAGCCCCCGTCACAAGAGCCCCAGAAATAAAAGGTGCAAAAGTTGAGGAAAGGAGAAGAAAAGAGAATAACAGACAGAATGTGTGTTACCAAGTGAAAACTGCAACTGTTGGTGAGCGCCGCAAATAACAGTTCTCCTGTAGCTCAACCCTCCTCTCCCCAAGTATCTCTCATTTAACTTCTGACAGCTGTCAAAACAGAACGTGATACTACCAGGGCTCAAAACGCACGAGAAGAGAGAGCTGCTTCTTGAGTAGAATGATTTCCCAAACCCGTGTTGTTCTCGAGTTTCCTCAATGCCCACAACAACAGAAACATTTCATTCCAGGCGTTCAGCCAGCCCTGGTGCTGCTCAGACAGCCAGCAGGTGAGCACTCTTCTCAAGAAGATGTTCTCAGACCTGAGCATTCACTGTCTGCTCTTCAGACAGGGAACTAGCAGGGAGCCCAATCCTGTGAGGTGTGCAGAGTGATCTTATGTTCGACAGCCTCTAATTTAATATATTTGAAAGAGTTTCAGATCGGGAGAGAATCAGTTCCTGTCACTAAGACGACTTCTTGTATATCCCACATCATTAAGTTCCATCCAGATGTCCCGGCACGAAGCTCAAAGGCTTCCATTTCACCCAAACATCATGGCAGCTCTCAGGAGCACAGACTGCTGAATGCTGCAGAGGGAATGGATTGCTGAGTGCTGGAGGTGGGAGAGCCTGATGCGTGTCAGTGTGTTGGGTTTGGCTGGGTTTGACAGGGTTAACACCAATGACAGAGGCAACTGTGATCACGGGCAATCTGTTTCCTGAGGCACATCCCACAGGTGAGTTGCTCCCATGCTACAGCAAAGAAAAATATGGGAAAAAGAAAACCTCTCACAAAATAAGCCCTCAAGATCCAGCCCAAACAAGTATGGGGGGGAAAGGAGAAGGGAAGGAAAGCACACAATTCCCCCCATCTCTGTGGGCAATCCCATGTAGTCCTAAAGGATGGGATTTAATTAGGAAGTTATCTCTGTGCAGATCTGCGGGTGCTGTGAGAATTGTTAAGGGCAATTCTGGTAAATGCGTTCTCCTTCAGGCCTAGCAAAGAAGGGAAGTTAACAAGTGCACTTCAATTGCAAAACCAAAGGGGATCACCCTGATCCTCCAGCTCACAGGCTGGCCTCAGAATTTCCCCCAGAAACCGAAGACTGATTTTAAAAGAAAATACTATAAAGACCTTAAGGACAAATCCATCGCGAGCACCAACAAATTGCTATAATATTTTATTATGCTCACGACCGGCATTTTATTGCAAGGTTGAATTTGCCTAACTTCAGCTTCCATCCCTGGATCTTGTTATAGCTTTGTCAGCAACCCTGGAGAGCCCTCCCCCCTCCCCTGTATCAGATATCAGCTGGATCGTGCTCAGCATCCATCAGCCCTTCCTACTGGCAGGGCCGATCTGTAGGAGAGTAAATTTTTCAGCTCAACGCAATATCACGTTGCCTTTGAGAAAAAGACCATTATTCACACTTTATTTTCACTTCACCCTTGTACTCGGAGCTTAAAAACAAAAACTCAAGAATGGATTTGGCACAATTCATATGTCACAGAGGCAAAGTGCTGGGAGCAGCAGACAGAGCTTTCATTCTTGAAAAGCTTTAGAGGATCACACAGAAAACATTAGCAATGGCTGA